CCTCAACACACCAACAGGAAAAATAAGACTCAAAGTTGGAGCAACTTGTCAAGCAGAGGTTGTGCTAACAAAAAGCTCAGCTCTTCCAATTGACCTTAGTGGGAAAGATAGTCCAGCGGGTCGGCTCTGCTAATTGACAGACTTACAGGTTCTAACAGAATGAAATCAGGTTTGATTTAGAACAGGGGTTGGCAAACTACAGCCCATGGGCCAAATCCAGCCCACTGCCTGTGTTTGTAAACAAAGTTTTATTAGGAAACAGCCATGCCCATTCATTTATGTCTGTCTGAGGCTGCTTCCAGGCTACAACAGCAGACTTGAGTGCTTGCCGCAGACCGTCAGGCCCGCAAAGCCTAAAATATTTACTGTCTGATCCTTTACAGAAAAAATTTGTCCACCTCTGATTTAGAGAATAGTCTGATGCCTGGATTTTGTTCTATTTCCCAAGTGTTAGTGTACTCAAGTTTCTCTACCTGTTGAAACTATTTCACTTAACAGGTAGGTTTTTATTTTTTTAAAAAATTGACAATCGTTGATTCAAGTTTATATTACAGTTCAGAGAAAAAGTTCAATGGTTTGGTGTTGGGCTCAAATTAATATACTTTCTCTGCTTTAGGGGCACACAGCTTGGTTGTGGTCTTGAGCATAACATTTTTACAAACCTAGAGCAAAATGGGCAGGTGAAATGGAATGCTTTTTGCTCTGGAGGATGTCTTTTATTCAAGCTTGAACATACACTGCTGCTGCCAGCATTAATACTCGAAGAGTCTACCTATATTCCTCTCACTTAGCTACTTCTATTTTCAACAGAGGTCCAGATATCATTTGTTGGCATCTAGCTTTTCTCATCAATAAAGTATGCCCTCTCCCAACTTCTTTCATAGATAGCTCTTAAAAACTAAATATTCGACAGAAATACTCTGTTCCCCAAAAACTAACATTCTACGAGTCTGTCTTTTGAAGCTAAACGCGTCTTACAATAACTTTGCGGCCGACTTCAAAACTGAAATCCAGTTTTTTAACTCTTTGTGTAGCCGTTTGATCACAGATGAAACTTTCATCTCATTTTTTTAAACTTTTTATTATGGAAATTTCCCAACATATGCAAAAATAGAAAGAATGGTATCATAAACCCCCAGGTCCCCAGCAACTAGCTTCAACAAGTATCCATAGTCTGCCATCTTCTTCCCATTTATCCTTATTCCCAACTTTTTGTTTGTTTATTGTTTGTCGCAGTATTTGAAGGCAGACCTTACACGTCAAATCACTTCACCCATAAATGCTTGTTTGTTTCAGTCAGATAAGGCCCTTCTTTGAAAAAAACTGAGTGCACTATCCTGTCTGACAAAATTGATAGTAATTCTTAATATAATCTAATATCCAGTCCAAGTTCAATTTTCCCCAACTGTCTCAATAATGTCTTTTCATAGCTGGTTTGTTCACCACATATCGTATTTTGCTGATAGGTCTCTTAGGTCTCTTTATATCTGCAATAGATTCCTCTCCCTTTTTTTTTACCCACCACTAGCATACACTTAAATTCTAATTGGCCAAGCAAACCTTACTGAGAGTAACACCCCTTTAGCCTCCACATGCTATATGCAAACCCAGACATTCACAGGCCTTTAAGCCCCTTAGGCACCGACTCACACAGCTCCACTTTCTCCATACAATCCACCACCAGGACCAAGATGCCAGCCCATCCCACACACTTTCTGCCCTCAAGAGAAGGAATTTAGATCGCTGCAGCAAGCTAATTCTCTAAAATTAAATCTTTTCTGTGCTGTGACGGCCCAAAGACTCTGAATGATTTAAAAAAACAAGGTATCCGTTCATTGTGGCTTCTTTTTGAAGTTAGCCAAATTTAATGAAGAATCACAAAGTAAATCAGACAAGCCTCACAATCCATTATCGTTACTAGTAACAAAATTAATTGAACATCTACATCATGCAGGACATTGGGTTATAAAAAAGATGACTTGTGTCCCTGCCCAAAGTGACTTATAGCCTAAATGGAACAGTTATCACATTCACATCATTTAATCACAAATGCCCAAGGAAGACAACAAAGAACCACCCAAACCCACATCCAGGCTCCTATGATCAGGCTAAGAATATTTGTGAAGTCAACCTGTGTGGTGGAATCAAAAGAACGAGAATCAGAAGGAGCAGAGTTTGACCGCCGGTTCTATCATTTCTGAGCTGTGCACACTGGATAAGTTATTTAACCTCTGATTCTCAGTTTTATCATTTGTAAAATAGGAATAATCCCACCTAACTCACAGAGTAGCAGCTCTTAATGAAAAAATGAATGAGAAAATCTTTTTTTTTTTTTAGATTGGCGCCTGAGCTAACAACTGTTGCCAGTCTTTTTTTTTCTTCTTCTTCTTCTTTTCCCCAAAGCCCCCCAGTACATAGTTGTATATTCTAGCTGTGCCTCTGGTTGTGCTGTGTGGGACACCACCTCAGCATGGCCTGATGAGCGGTGCCATGTCCGCGCCCAGGATCCGAACCAGTGAAACCCTGGGCCGCCGAAGCAGAGCACGCTAACTTAACCACTTGGCTACGGGGCTGGTCCTGAATGAGAAAATCTTATAGGAAAGCTTAGTAATAATGTTGATGACTAAAACAATACTAATAATAAAATCATTGACTATAATACTCATTATGCCAGGTGCCGGGCTAAAATGCTTCATGTGTACTATCTCATCTAATGCTCAAATCAGTCCTACAAAGCATTTCCTATTCTTACGACATTTTCCAGACGACGAAATTGAAGAGAGTGACTGAGTGATCTGCTCAAGTTGACAGGCCTAATGGCAGAAGTGGGTCACAGGACCTCACGGTTCTTGCTGTCAATCATGGCCTGATAACGCCTCCCAAAAGCCACCACAGTAAGGTGTCATGAGACCCAGGGCAGCATAAATTGTGGCGGGGACAGGCCCTCCTATTATGGCTATTAGATAATTACATTGTAAAGTTGTAAGGCCCGGCAACCCGTGGCCCTGACCCCTGCTCAAACAGGAAGCCCCAGGAGGCTCCCCGAGTTGCCCTACCCAAGGTGTGGGTATGTTCAGAGCCGTAATGGCGGTTTCCTTCCTTACTGGGGCAAGTCTTCAGTAGTCTGCTAAAGAGTATTTAAGGCCTTTATTACAAGTCTCAAACACCCAATATGTGTTGAAACAGGGCCAAAGTAAAACCATAATTATTTTTGCCTATATAATCTCTTCATTCCTTTTTGTACATATGTACAAAAAAGACTGAAGGAAGCCAGCCCCCAGGAAAGGGGTCCAAATGCCTTGCAGCCACCAAGCTTTGAGCAGCCCAACCTAGCCAAGTGGAAACGGCACTTGGAGAAGAACTGAGGCCCTGGCCAACCATGCGGGCACACGTGGCCCACAGCCGTGTCAGGGAAGCCTTTTGGACCTTCTCACCTCCCCAGAGTTCAACTGAGAACACATGAAGCTTCTGCACCACCCAGTTAACCTACAGAATGGTTAGCAATAATATAATGCTGTTGGTTTAAGCCACTACGTTTTGGGGTGGTTTGTTAGATAACTGAAACAGCCAGAAATCAGCTTTTCCAGCCAGGCCAAATATTAAATCTATGAACAAGAGATTAATTAGCAGCTCACTGTTGTTTATCAATAGAAATGCTATATTCCTTCCATTCAAGGATGTCCACTGGCTGAAACATTCAGCTCTGTAAATCCAGGGGCCTCCACTGTTCCTGGCTCAACAGTGTTAAATAAACATGAATAATGATCACATTAATAACAACAATAACAGCAGCTAATATTTACCAAGTGTTTCTTACGTACAAGGCTTCAAGCTAAACCTTTCGTTCACTTAACCTCCACAAAAGCCTTTTGCAGTGGACCACTATTACGCCCTTTTTACAGATGAGGCCACTGAGGCTCAGAGTGGTACAGTGACGTGGCCAGGATCACACAACCAGCAAAGAGTGGCACAGAAGTTCACTCTGGCCATCTGACTCCAGAACCTGTCCTCCTAACCATCGGCTTTATTTCCCCTTCAAGTGTCATTCTAATTTAATAAGCTTGCTCCCTCTAAAAGAGAGAACACGTGTAAAGGGTTTAAAACTGTGTCTGACCTATGGTAAGTTTTCAAAATACACCAACTCTTGTTATTAGCAAACTTGTAGATGGGAAGGGAAGAGCATAGCCAACCCTGATTAATGTTAGCTATTTGGATGATCTGTAACGGGCCTCCTTCACCAGCAAGCATCCGGGGTTTGGTAATTTTCTATTTGCAAGCCCTCTGTCCCCCTGGACAGAGCTGCCCCTGTTTCTGGTTCATCTTTGTAGGTCCGGGGTTCTGCACGTGACCTGGCACGGAACAAGGAGGTGCTCAAGAAACTGTTGAATGAATGGAAAGGAAACGCTTCATTCACCACAAATGCGAACTTGCATTTGCAGGGGGACACCTCCCCCGGCCATCAGTCCTTCAAGTGATTCCAAAGGAAAGGAGAGGGCAGGAAGCGACAAGTGAAGGAGACCCCGCAGAGAAGCGCGGGCGCCAGTGGGCTCCTTGGGATGAGGCCAGGACACCTGCGAAGTCAGTGCAACACTTTGGCCGGCCACAAGGAGGGCCGGACCTCCCACATTCCCCAGCACATTGCAAAGCCGGGGGGGGGGCGGGGGGGCGGGGAGTGGAGACCCCGGGTGGAAGCCCTCCCAGGCGGCCGCGCCCCGCCCGCCGGCATCGCTGGGACTTGGGACTCGCCCACCGCACCCGGGCAGGAGGAGGAAAGTGACAGGAAGTCAGAAGTTTCCCCACAGCAGAAGTCTTCCCCTCCCGTCCTCGGCCGCCCCGCCCCGCGAGGAGGGACCGCCACAAGTGGATAAGGCAGTTGGGGTCCCGCTCTCCAGGTCCCCACACGCAGCGCCCCGCGTGAAGCTCCCCCCTCTCGTGCCATGCACCCGGAATTCTGTGGGAGGCTCCCAGGGAGGGGCGGGGCCGCCCCAACTGTTACTTACAATCGTCTAAGTCATCCTGCAAGTCCACAAAGTACAGGGGGATCTCTGAAAACCAAGAGACATACAAGGAGTTACGAGGGGCCCGCCTCGGGCGGGCTCAGGGGCCGGCGGGAGGCCCCCGGCCTCGAGGGGCGGTCCCGGCGGGGGCAAGGGGAGCCTCGGAGCCCAGCCCCACTCACCCGCCATCTTGGGATGGGCCTGGAGGCGGGGCCGGCGAGCGGGGGGCGGGCCCTCGGCCAATGGCCCCGCCCCCCGCGCGTCCCCGAGCGCCTCGCGGCGCCAGCCGGGCCCCGCCCTCGCGGCGAAGGTGGCTGCCGAGGTGGGCGGGGAGGTCAGGTGACCGGCCGGCGTCCCAAGATGGCGGCGGCGGCGGCGCCCGCGAGGCCGCAGCCCTGTCCCGGCTGCTGAGGGGGCTCCCGCGCGGCTGGCGGCGGACGGGCCGGGCCGAGGGCCGGCGAACGGGCAGCCGCTGTCTCTGCGCGCCCCGCGGCCGGGGCTGGGCCGTGCGGCGGCGGCGCCGGGGGATGCTCGTGCTGGGCCCGGCCTCTCCCTCCTCAACTTAGGGCGGCGGCGGGCCCGCGCCCCTGGCTCCCGGGCCATGGCTCTGAGGGAACTCAAAGTGTGTCTGTTGGGGGTGAGTGGCGGCGGGCCGGCGGGGAGGGCCGCGGGGACCGGGTGGGCCGGGGACCCGGGCGTGCCCACGTCCCCTCCACCCCTTCCCCCAGCCTCCGTGCGGGACGACCTCCCTCCATCCCCGGGCCGTCCTGCCCACCTTGCCGCACCCTCCTGAAGGTCCTGCTGGCAGGAGGCATCCTCCCCCGTACCCCTCCCTGGAGCCCAAGGACTCTTCCCGCCCCTCAAAGGGTGAAGAGGCCTCCCCGCCCCTCCATTGCATCGGGTTAAGAGCCGCTCTTAGTTTCCTCCCAAGGTGCTAGTTAGGAGTTAGCCAAGTCTCCCAAAGTGAAACCGGTGACAGGTCTTAGGTTTTAGAAGCAGCAGTAGCCGCCCTTCCCGTCTGCTTGGCGTTTTTGAACTTGTGGGATACCCCTGACACTTCCTGCAGAGTTACTTTCGGGCGTGGGGCGGGGGCTCGTGCAAATCGGGAAGCTCCAAAGACTAGTTTGAACCTCCAGCTTCCTGTCGTGTCAGGGCCGCTTTCCCATTTAGTGCAGGCTTTCTGAAGTTGATGCTCTCGTGCCTGAGTTGCTGCCTTAAAGACTGAAAAGGCTTCCAAGAACTAGTCTTCCCCCTTCCCAAGTCTGGGGGCGGGGGGGGTGGCTGGGATTGCTCAGGGATTACTAAAAGTAATTGAAGAGTTCATAGTTTACTTATACATGTGAAGAAGCAAGTGAGTTTGTCACTTTTCACACTAAGTGGAAACTTGGGTCTTTCAAAAGGCCCTAAGATCTCTTAAAAACTGCAAAAAACCCCTCTCCCACAATACATTTTGAGTTCTTCTAGTTACTCCCACTGAATTTTTATGAAAACCTTCATGTCCCGTAACTTCTAAAATTTGCCTAGTATCTAGAGTGATTTTTTTCTAAAATCCTGAATTTATGGCACGAAGTAGTTTTCCGTGTCTGCAAGCAGGTAAGCTTTTGCTAATTCGCCCCTGTCATTCTCTTTCAGGATACAGGTGTAGGTAAATCGAGCATCGTATGGCGCTTTGTGGAAGACAGTTTCGATCCCAACATCAACCCGACAATAGGGTAAGAGATTAAGCTTATTGAATATGCATCTGTAGGTGTGTTGAGAGTCCTTCCAAGTAAAAAATGTGTTGCAGGGGTAGGCATCTCCGTTTTACACTGTAGTGAATTCAGAGACAATGGTTTCCATCATCTCTGGAAAGACCTGAAAGAATACAGCAAGGATTGGTGTGTTTTAGAAGAATTATCTTTTGACTTGTGAGGAGTGAAAACTTCACAATGAAAGTGTGAATTAAAGCTTTACTTATTAGAATATACATAGAACCTTCTATCTATAAATGTCAACAGCAGTTATGCCTTAAAATAAGGCAGGAGAAAAACAGGTCTTGATACTGTTCATTCAGGCATGTCAATTAAAAGGTATTTAGATGGTTTTAGTTCTTCCTGAAAAGTAGAAGGGTGAGATCCAAACCCTTCTCACACGTTACTGCACTAGTAGTAATAATGAATTAATAAATTAATGTTGAGATGTAAGATGTTTTCAGTGTCTAGTTCATTGGATAAGTGAAATTGGCTTGCTATAGGTTTTCGGCTCTGTAAGAAAACTTTTTTCAGTGTTTAAATATCATAATATTAATGCTTTCTTTGAGAAGCTGTGTTTTATAGGTTTCAATACTATGTTAGGTTTGTAGAACTACTAACTGCTTGCTGTTTTTATTGCAAACCTCCAATCAAATAGTTTCTTTGACTTAAGGAAAAATTCTACTCTGCCTAATAGAGAAATATTTTCCAGTATACACATACACGTTTGAAGGCATGGAGATGAAACCACCACTAACTTTCTGAAATTAAAATGCCTTTCAGTATCCTTCAAGAAAGAACTAGGTATGTCCACATGTTTAAAGCGTGAGCTCATCCTCCTCGGGGCCTGCCTGTCTCTACCCGCTTGGGAAAGTGAAGTGGCAGGAAGTGATAGCAAGTGGTGCTGGTGACTCAGTGAGTGACACACTTCACACCCAGCCAGAGCTGAAAACACAGCTCTGAAATACCCAAAAGCCACCTTGGGTAGAAGTGCTCTATCAGATAAGGAGAGAGAAGAATAAAGGGTGTAGCTCCGGCGGTCGTGGCGGGGCCTGCAGCCCTGTCCAGGCGTCCACTGGTGGCCACCTCTTCCAGTCTGACAGCTGCTGGGTTAATCCCTCTCTCTTCACCGGGTGGTCTTGGCTCACATTCCACAGGAAATAGGAATGCAAGGCTCTTGCCTGCCTGCCTTCCCCCTTGCCCCGTTTCTTTTTCCTCAACTTCAGCAGGTGTCTTCCTCCTTCATGACCAACTACCTACACATCTGAGCTCTGGAGCCCCCCCTCTTCACCAGTTCTCCCCTTTCTTTCCCAGCCCTGCCTTCATATCATAGCCTGCAAACGTGGTCCTAATCTATCTGCTCCACTAAGACAGTACCATTCCCCAAGCCTGCTACACAACTTGTGGAGCTCTCAAAAGAGAAGTTACTACTTTCTTAACTGCTGCTCCCTCCTCAACCCACATCATCACAATTCCCCTCCCACCATGCCACTAAAACCACTTTCCCTGGGTACTGGTGGTACCATCTATTTGCCAAAACCGATGGCATTTTTTTTTCTTTATTCATTCATTGAGTCCCCACTACATTCCCGATGCTAGACTGGGTGCTGGTGATTTAGACCAGGGGTCAGCAAACTATGGCCCTTTGGCCCACCTCTTGTTTTTGTAAATAAAGCTTTATTGAAATGCAGTCACACCTATTTGTTTACATATTGTCTTCACTGCTTTCAGGCTACAATGACAGAGTTGAATAGTTGTGACTAAGACCCTGTGGCCCGTAAAACCAAAAATATTTAGTCTTTGGCCCTTTTCAGAGAAGGTTTGCCAACCCCTAATCCAGATAAACACCGTCCCTCAGGGATCTTACCTCCAAGGAGGAGGAGAGACATTCTGTAACTAATGTACTGGAAATTATTTATTTGACCATTTTCGGTACTACGAAGGAGAAATGCTGTGAAAGCATGTAACAGGGGCCTGACCTAGGCCCAAGGGAATGAGTCATTACTAAGGGAAACAGTGAAACTCTAAAGCACTTGGAAGCCCTGGCATTTAAATATTGAAAGATGAGTGGATTATAAGTCAATAAAAAGTTGAAGGAGAAACGTTTTTGAAGAGAGGAATCTAACTGATTGGTGGTGTTGAGGGCGGTGAGTAGCTTGGGGGACAGCAGGAACTGTGCACTGGGGGCACAGAGCATGTTGGAGGGGTGCCCAGGAGGCTGGTGAGGCAGCAGGAACTGGGCATTGGAGCTCAGGAGCAGCTCCCACGTCACTTACCACAGACATCTTGGAATGAGCTCTGTGTTCCCTAGTTCTCTTCCTCCGGCTGTGATCGTGCTCCCTCAGTGTTCTCTCCTTCTCCTACTGATTTTGTACGTGTTGGTCTTCCCCAAGCTGTGTCCTGCTCTGTATGTTTCCCAGTGGTGCTCTCACCCCCTCCCGCACCTAAGTTTCACCTATGTGACAGAACCTCCAAGTCAGCTTCTCTGGCCTTTCTCCTTAGGGCCAGGCCCATATTTCCAACCCGTGATTTAGACCTCATCCCCTGCAGAACTCGGTTAATATCCCTCCTCTGATCCTAAATCCCTTACTCCTCCCATATTTGTGGTCTTCCCTAATGGCCCAAATGTGTCATATGAGGGGGAAGAGCATGGGCCCTGAGGAACCATCTTGCGTGGTCTTAACAGGGCCTCCACCATTTGCCAACTGGGAGAACTTCCAGGCAGTTGACTGAGCCTCTCTGTTGGGGGTCACCTGCCTCCTGGGGTTGTTGGGAGAATATGATGACACACAGGACACGCACAGAAAGTGTGCCGTGAGTGTTGGTTGGTAGTAGTATGTGATCACATGCCATTTGTCATCACACCCCTCTCCACCCTCCTGTCCCACTCCCTTGAACTCCTCATTCATGTCACTTCTGCCCAGTCACTGCCGCCGGGGCCCTCCTCCCCATCCCACAGCTCGAAGCCCTCATCCTGCCTTCCCTAGACTGTTGTGTGAGTTTCACAGCTGACTGCCCTACCTTCTCCTCTCCCACTTTCAGCCAATTCTCATTGCTGTTGTCTGAGCTTCTTTAAAGACAAGTCTGATTACCTTGCTCGAGACCATGACAGAGGAGACCTTTCCCAGTCTGGACCCAGCCTTGTGTCTCATCTGCTTCCTCCATACTGGCCTTGCTCACTTCTCCCCACTACACACATACACCAAGTAACACCCTTTCCACACCTGCGTGCTTTGCACATGCTGTTCCCCCTGCGGGGCCCTTTCTCTTTCTTGTCCCCTTGGTAAGTTCCTGTTTATCTGTCAAGACTAAAGTAGAGGGGCCGGCCCCATGGCCGAGTGGTTAAGTTCACGCACTCTGCTTCAGCAGCGCAGGGTTTCGCTGGTTTGGGTGCTGGGCATGGACATGGCACCGCTCGTTAGGCCACGTTGAGGCATCGTCCCACATGCCACAACTAGAAGGACCCACAACTAAGATATACAACTATGTTCTGAGGGGATTTCGGAAGAAAAAGCAAGGGGAAAAAAAGAAGATTGGCAACAGTTGTTAGCTCAGGTGCCAATCTTTAAAAAAAAAAAAAAGACTCAAGTACACTGTTAGCCCTTCTAAAAGTTGCACACTCCGGTGCTGGCAGGGACCAGGCAAGGATGTAAATAAAGGAAATGGCCCAGGTGGAAGAACTTGAGGCTCTCAGATGCGAACTGCCTCAATTTCCTGCCTTCCCTGCACCATACTCCCCTTATCTTCTTATCTCCATGAGCACTTTCCTTCAGTTTCCTCTGGATCCTCATCCCTTAATCCTCCCTTTGTATGTACAGTTCCTGCAAGACCCCTCCGATGTCGTTTTGTCTGCTCTTGCCTGATGACCTTACTCATGTCATGGCTTCAGGTTGCATCTATAACAGGAATTTTCAAAGCTGAGGCTCTTTTCAGACTTATATGTGCCTCTGACCCTTCTCCCCGCAATACACATACACTGGGGAAGACATGGCCCCCTTTAAAATCACCACTGTAGTGAGCTGCAGTCACCAGTGGGAGCATATTGTGTTCCTCAGGTGTGCTGGGATGGGAAACTGGTTGAGTATCACTGATTGCGTGTGACTAAGTCCCACACCACTAACCCTAAATTCTCTCTTAAGCTCCAGACCTGTAGATTCTGTTGACCCTGGTGCCGGTGCCCACACGTGGCCCACAGACACCGGGGACTCTACGTATTCCGGACTGAGTGTCAACTCCCCACTGGAGGCTTGGGCCTCTGCTCCCCTTTCCATGGACTCTGTGGTAGAGACAAGGACCAACGTGTCCTCACTTACTCAAGCCAGCAACCTTGGCATCCTTCCCAAATCCCCCTTCTCATCCCCCTCCCCTCCCTGAAGCCAGCGTGAGTCACTAGCTCCTGTCCAGGCCACCTCCTAAATATCCCTCCATCTCTGTTGCTGTTCTTGACTTCTAGAACTTCATCTTCCCTCATGGTGGTCCAGACTTGGACTCTGTCCTTTGCCAGCTAGTTAACCCTGAATCTGTTTCCTCATCAGCAAAATAAGGGTAATGATGATACTAACTCCATGTTGTTAGGAGACTTCCATGAGATACTGCATTTAAAACGCTAGGCTAAGTGCCAGGGACACTGGGCTTCAACATGGTAGCTATTGATCTTTTAAAAATGTTTTAAAATTATTTTATCAAAATAATGTGTATGTGGTTTTTCTGTAACAACAGGGCTTGCGGTTAAGTACAACAGTCCCCTGGGTCACCCTCACGCGTTCCCTGGCGGCAGCCACAATTATGATGAGATTTCGCTGTTTTTTCTAATCTTTCTCCAGACTTTTTCATAACATGCATAGACTGATAATACTCGATCCTTCCTCTCCTCTTCCCTCCCCCCACTTCCAATTTTAGGCATTATCTACTGACTGTTTTTTTGAAAGATGAGAATTTAACCATCCTCCTCCTACCTCCCTCTGCACGTTTGCTCTCCCTCC